AAGGATAGTTTGTATCTGCTTTCAAAAATAGTGCTGAGAAGAAGTTGAAATGTCATAATGCTAGTGTTTTTCAGACGTTTAAAGACAGTTATTTGGTTTAATTTTAAATATCTTGGCAGCCTAAAAAAAGAGACTACTCAAGATTTGTTCCTGGGTAGTGCTTCAAAATCTCTAGCATGTTGCTTGAATGCAGAAGTGTTTGATCATAGCCCTTTTTTAGATGGATAAGAATCCATTCTTGCAATTTTTACAGGGGTGTTTTCCCATATTGATTTAGAATTATCTGCAGTGAGTAGCCTGTCTATTTAAAAAAACATAATCAGCAGAGAAAAAATAACTAGCAAGGAATAATAAAAATCCACATACCTGTTTTGATTATAATTAAACAGATATCATTGGTTTTTGTGCATTTTGGGTTACATAATTTTGATATGCATTGCATTTAATAAAACTATGAAAAACCAATTCCAAATATTTAAATATTTTGGCTTGCTTTGGTGAATTAGCCTTCATTGTTGCTTTGCAAAAGTTAAGCTACTTATTTTATTATAGTTAATGTGAAGTACAGATCAATAAATGGCTAAGGCACTTAGAGCTCATTTTCATCCAAATGACATGTGCAAATATAACCACTACATCATAAAATACAATTGCCAAAATAAGATTGCAATATATTTGTTGGCTAGTTTTGGAAAATAATGCTTTAAATTATTTTGGCTACAACAGGGTTGATGTTTAAATTGAAGAGGAAAGGAGCCAAAATGAATTCTTGTCTACAGTGCTAAATTTTAATAATACAGGTTTTGCATAATGCTCCAATGGATCTAGTTCTACAATTTAGTTGAAATATATAAACTTAGATCCCCCTCCCCCGCCCACCCCACAGTTTGCTCTGTCCTGTTCCATTGAAAAGGACTTGTCTCCATCTAAGAGCAATTCACCTGTTTTTCTGGAATAAAACTATATCAAACCTGGTAACATAATTCATAAAAGCAGAGTCTTTGGCCTGGTATTCTTTCCTGAGATATTCCACGAGAAGATTGCCAAAGTTTTAAGGGGGAAAAAACAAAAATTAGTCAGAATTTCCAGTGGACAGCATTGACAGAGAAAATAGTTCCTGTAGGCTTTTTTCCATGATTCTTTGCTCAATGATGAAATAATTGTTCCACCCATATATTATCTTGATCTTTAGTCTTCATTTAATACTTGCATTGGTTCATGACTGGGATGTAGTAACTTAATTGTGCAGGGTAGTGATTCGACTGTGTTACAGTTGATTTTAAGTGAATTATTACACAATTGATGAAGATTTCCTTCTCATCCCAGAATAACATAAATATTTTTAAACGTCTTTGTAAATTAGCTAATGATGCAGAATGCAACTTTTGTTTTAAAAATCTTTATTAGAAAGGTTACTATTTTTTTCTTTAATAATTGTTTGGCATTACAAAATAGACCATATTAGCAAAGCACATTACATCTGTGGATTGACATATTTATATTATTACATAATGAATATAAAAGTAATTGCATCTTTTCTATATGGACATTTCATTTCAAAATTATAAAAAAGCACTTCAAATTTTCTAGGAACGTAATATGTCTCTGCTGTTTGTTAAATAGCTGCTTTTTTTTTGCCAGCCTGAAAAAAAGATATACAGGCAGTCTTGACTTACAGTCATTCATTTAGTGACTGTTAAAGTTACAGTGGCACTGGAAAAGTACGTTTTATGCTTATAACCATTGCAGCATCCCTATGGTCAACTGATCAACTTTGGATGTTTGCCAACTGGCCTGTAATTATCCTGGTTGTAATGTCCCAGGGTCATGTGATCACCTTGTGTGTCTTTCTGACATGCAAAGTCAATCAAGAAGCCAGATATATTTAACAACCGTGTTACTAATGTAACTGAAGTGATTCACTGAACATTTATGGTAAGAAAGATAGTAAAATGGGGCAAAATTCATTTATCTACTGTTTTACTTAGCAGTGGAAAGTTTGGGCTCAATTTTTGGTTGTAAGTCAAGGACTACCTGTAGTTACATTAAGAAGACACAGCACACTATAGTGTGAGTAAACTTCTTAAAGCAGATGCAACTTTGTTGAGATTAGTGCACAGTTCACTCTGCTACAGCCACCTTGACAGCTTTTTGCTTTTAAAGAGACCCTTGCCTTTATCTGTTTAGAGCAGGGGTGTCAAACTCACAACATCATGTGACGTGTCACGACGTATCATGACTTTTTTGCCATTGTCGGCAATGGGGTGGGCGTGGTTTCACCATGATACATCCGGCCTGCGAGCCGGCAGTTTGACACCCCTGATTTAGAGCATACCAAATAAGATATAAGTCTCCTAAATGTCATACTTAAATCTCCTAAATGTCATACTTAAAAAGCAGTTCAATGACATCTTACACCAGAGCACCTAAAAATCAAGCAATGTTTTTTCATCTGCTAGTGAAACTTACAAATCTGGAAAAAAACACTGAAGACTGGAATAATTTTAAATTTTTAGAAAAATAGTGGAAAAACTCAGTTGCTTGAAATAACAGGCTAATGCAAATATTTGAAATATTTTAAAAAAAACAGAGCAAAATTTGGTAATTTGAAACAGGCTGTTGGTCTGGTTGCATATCCTCAGATTATACCAAATTTAACGTTGCAGGCAATTCTCTCCATGGCTCTTTTTGTAAATTAGACCCTAAGAGTTCTGCCTGGATTTGATCTGCAGTTTTTCTTCTTCGGGGTGGGAATTTGCAACCTATATATTAATACATTGGGATAGTGAGCAAAGAGATGATACATTAGAATAAAAGATCAGAATTTGAGAAAATAAATACTATTAATCTAGGAGTGATATATATTCTAAGTACTACATTATTTCCTATGTTCCGCTTTTTTCTCTTATTTTTTATTGTTTCTTTTTCATTCTTTTTTTTTATTCTTTTTTTATTCTTATATCCATTATTTAAGATACATAAAAATATGAGATGGCTTATATGGAAAAATAGAATTAAGTCTGTCAATATAAATGTAACTAATCGTTGCGAAAACCTTTACCAGTAAGAATATTCAGAAGTTGGCAGGAGAAATAAACTAAAATAAGGATTGTAACAGGATCGATGATAAGGCACAAATGACTGAAAAGAAAAGAAATGTATTAATATGATGATTATTGTTTAGGAATATTGGAACACTTTAAGAAGGATGAAATGCTTTAGATATTTATAGGTGACTGAACTCAAGAAAAGTATATATATATATATATATATATATATATATATATATATATATATATATACATATAAAATGTTTTGAATTAGAGTTAAGGGATTAGATGACTAGATTTATTGAATAGGATGTTTAAAGATTAAACATATTCTTAACTATGATTAAAAAGAATAAGAAATTCGAGAAAATAAATACTATTAATCTAGGAGGGGTATATATTTTAAGTATTATGTTATTTTCTATGTTCCATTATTACGGTACTGCTTTCATCTATTCTTTTTATTTTTTATTTCTTTTTCATTCCTTTTCTTTTCCCCTTTCTTTTTACTCTTATATTTAATACTTAAGAAACGTAAAAATGTGAGATGGCTTATACGGAAAAAATAGAATCAAGTCTGTCAATGTAAATGTAACTAATCGCTGAGAAAACCTTTACCCACTAAAAATATTTAGAATTTGGTGGGAGAAATAAACTAAAATAAGGGCTGTAACAGGATTGATGATAAGGCAAACCAAATAAATGGAAAGAAGAGAAATGTATTAATATGATGATTATTTTTTAGGAATATTGGAAAAATATATACTAAATTGTCATTTATTAAAACAACAAGAATTATATTAACATAATGTTTGCAAAAAAAAGGATATTTCAGGGAAAGAGGAAAGTAAACAAAATTAATATATGGAATACAGACTATAGAAATCAATTGTTAAGGACTGTTTTTACAAATGTAACCCAGACATCACACTGTTTACCAACTACTGAATGACTTATGCTTGTGTAAAAAATCAATAAAAAATATAATTTTAAAAAAAGAATGAAAGATAAGAAATTGAACTTTGAATATATTTAAATGAGAAAGAGAGAGAGAAAGGAAAGGACAAGTGATTAATATAGGACAGCAAAGAGGCATAGTAATTTAAAAAACAACTTGAAAAAGAGTTAGTTAAGCCAGATTCACATAAGACATCAGGGAAATAAAGTAGGAAAAATATTAGCCATAAAAGGGAGTAGAAGATGAATGAATGAATCATAAAGCTACTTTGTTTACCTATGAAAACATCAAGCAAGCAAAATAAAAAGGGTGGGAAATAGGCAAAATTGGGAACTGGCAGAATTTGGAAAGAAGTCAGACATTTAACAGGCTGTTGAATGGGAGAATAAGGGATGCTAAACAGAGAGGCGCAGTTAGAGGGAAGAAGCTATGAATCGGTAAAGGCAAAGAACAGAGAAAAAGCAGCAAATCTGAAGGGAAGTAGTATGTATGAAACAAAATACATAACACTTAAAGTTCAATCTCATTGCAGATTCTCCAGAATCATTGACAATTAATATACTTTTTCATATGGGAAAAGCCATATGGAAAATCACATCCAAGCAGTCTTATTATACTAAAGTATATTATTAACAATAGTTATATACATTAATATTCTCACTAAAAGCCTGGTTGATTTGTTTTCCCCTTTCTCTCCTTATTTTTTTTAAAACCATATTTTTGTGTTTGTCATCTTCCTTGTTACTGTGCAGATGGAAGAGTTATTATTTGTAGCTTTGAAAATATGAGCATATAATTGGAAGAGAAAGTTGCATATTCAATGTGATATAAGATAGTAGCATTTGGTTTGTTACTTATTGACTTCTTAATAATAAATGATTTACAAGACACAACTAATTTTATTTAGGTGTTTCTAATTTATATTACAATAATATTTTACCCACAGTAAAAAGCATTCAGTGTTTTTATGTTTATGTTATTTCCTTGTTTAGACATTGCAAATGGCTCTAATGCAGGAGGATATCGTCCCCCTCCCAGAACAAAAGAAATAATCATTAATGGTCAGGCAGTGAAATTAAAATACTGTTTCACCTGCAAGATTTTCCGTCCACCCCGTGCCTCACATTGCAGCCTTTGTGATAACTGTGTAGGTGAGTAAAAAAAACAACAAAAAAAAAACAAATCCATACTAGTCTAGATAGCTGTGGCAGAGAATTGATATATTGCTGGTCATTATATTCATTTGGTATTTCTCATTATTAAAGTACAGCTTTGCTGTCTTGTCAAACTGGTACAACCGAAGGTAAACTGTCAGTGTTTACACTTCTCTGTTTATACATCCCAGATTCGAATATGTAATTTCAGGTTTGCTATTTGATCACCTCAAGCTTCCTTTCAGCTTGAAATGCAATTGCTGCTCTTAACGTTGGTTCAAAGTGAAATGTCCAAACTTAACGTTTTAAGAAATGTGTTAACAAGCTGAGGCATTGTTGTTGTTAGTTGCGAAGTCATGTCCAACCCATTGCGACCCCATGGACAACGTTCCTCTAGGCCTTCCTGTCCTCTACCATCTTCTGGAGTCCATTTAAGCTCACGCCTATTGCTTCAGTGACTCCATCCAGCCATCTCATTCTCTGTCGTCCCCTCCTTCTATTGCCCTCAATCTTTCCCAGCATTAGGCTCTTCTCCAGTGAGTCCTTCCTTCTCATTAGGTGACCAAAGTACTTGAGTTTCAACTTCAGGATCTGGCCTTCTAAGGAACAGTCAGGGTTGATCTCCTCTAGGACTGACCGGTTTGATCGCCTTGCAGTCCAGGGGACTCGCAGGAGTCTTCTCCAGCACCATAGTTCAAAGGCTTCAATTCTTTTGCACTCAGCCTTTCTTATGGTTCAACTTTCACAGCCATACATTGCAACTGGGGAAACCATGGCCTTGACTATACGTACTTTTGTGAGCAGGGTGATATCTCTGCTTTTTAGTATGCTGTCTAGATTTGCCATAGCTTTCCTCCCCAGGAGCTAAAGATAATATACATTCCAATAAAGCAATATTTGCTTTAGTACAAAAGGTAACCGAAAAGGCATAATACTTAATTTTATAACCCAAAACATGAATTTTTTTTTACATTATAATGGTTTGGGGCGCCTATGATTAAAAAGGGTATACACACTTTTGGGTAAAAAAAAATGCAAAAAAAGATCCCTTCATGGACATACCCATGTCATTTTCTTCAGTAACTATACTGAAGTAGTTTATCAGTGCCTTCTTCTGGGACTGTTCGTTTAAATTCCCCAGTCTAGCTGACAACCCTGAGTCCTTGTCCATTCATGTATTAAGCAGTCCTGATTCTGATTAACTTCCAAACCTAATCAAATTTGGCCAGGTGATCCTACCTCATTCAGACCCTGAATGAACTTTAATTTGTATGTATGTAGAAGTTTATTTGGGTGGCAAAAATCTAAATCCAGAATAATCAAGGTGAGAAGTAACGCAAGGTGGGCATCCACATGCTTGTCCCTAGTGCTAGCCACAAAGGTTAGTGATGAGGAATTATTGCAACTTGGAAGGCACCAAATTGTCTGGTTCTGATCAAGTTACTGAAGTAGGAGTTTAATTTATACTTCTAGATTTTCTGAGTTTTAGTAATATAATGAAAAAATGTAAACACAACTGACATTATACAGATTAGCTATGTAGAGAAACATGTAAATGAAGAATGACCAATGGATGCAGTCATACATTAAAATCATAGGGCTTCAGAGAAAACAACAAGAAGGCATACTGCCAATGGGCACAAATGTGAATGAAGCTCATTGAATTAGCCAGGTTTTTGGTATTTCACACAAAAGTCCTTGTGTTTTCTGTGGCAGAATATTTTCTAACAATGGTTTTAAAGAATGCTGTTAGAATATTTGTAAACAAAAGCCAGATCTGTTCATCTAATCAGTCAGTTAGGAGATAGCCTAACTCTACCTTCTGAAAACAGAATTTTCAGAAAAGGGCTGTCTGTTTATTTAATTTATATAGCCATGGAATCCCCAGGCCTAATAAAGGGCCTTTCCACCTTGGGTTGGGGGCTAATCTCATCTTGGGAGGATGGGATGGTAATGATCTTCCAAAGAGTAAATGCCACAGCAAAAACTGTCCACCTGGGCCTCGCCAAAAGAATACCTTCACCTTTCCCAATCTTTATCTACCTACCTAAGAGTATTCTGCTTTAACTAATATGACAGCTGCAGAATCAGCTCAAGATGTTTCATTATTAATAATGTCTACATCGCAAGACCTAAGATACATGTTCCCAAGTTTCTTAGCAATACTATAGGAAATCTGGAGCAAAGCTGTTGAATTTAAGTAGTTAGCTAACATCTTAATAAAAATTGATCATTTCAATAAAGTTTAATTTGCTTGCTTAAAATATTTATAGACAGTTACCCTAAATATTCAGTGTATTTTTTAGGAGGAAAATAATAAAATAAATAACAAAAATAGTTATTGAAAAGAGATGATTTAGTTAACCAAACAAATGCTTGCCAAAATCTGAAAGTGAAGTAAAAATTCTGCTACCCATCAAAGATCATCAGAAGATTGTTTCAGAACTTATACAGCGAGCACATTTAATTCATCTAAGCAAAAGGGAATTTGTAAATTCAAAAAAATGAACAGTGTTGGTATATATACCCAGGGACTAGGTAAGCGAAAGACCTGCTTAATATTACATAAAGCAAATAAAACAAAAAATGAAATATATAGGTTGGTTTGAGAAGGCTTGCACAGGAGTGAAATATTGTTTAAGACTACTTTATAAAACTACAATTGTGACATATAATATATGTAACAAATCACATGTTAATGAGAACTTTGTAATAAAGAATAAGTTAAGCTAATTTCTTCCTAATTGAATTCCCTTTTTTCTTCTACATTCTCTTTCAGAACGGTTTGATCATCATTGTCCCTGGGTAGGCAACTGTGTGGGGAAAAGAAACTACAGATTTTTTTATATGTTTATTTTATCTCTGTCATTTCTGACAGTTTTTATATTTGCATTCGTTATTACCCACATCATCCATCGTAAGTATGCTAGTAAAATCAGATTATGTATGTAGCCATTTTCTTGAGAATTAAATTTTAACTTTAATCTTGATCTATTAGGATATCTGTATCCTTATAGAACGCCCCCCCCATCGTATTCCTTGTTTGACATTCAACATAATTCCAGCTCTCAAAGAGTCTTGTTAATTCAGATCCTTGCCAACTGTTTTTTTTTTTTTGTTATTTCTTAATCATGTGTAGCCTTTATATAGAACAGTTTCTTTTTAAATTAGGTTATATAAAATAATAATTGGCTATTGTCAGTTTTCTTCAGGCTCTTTTCATGAGTGGTAAACTTTCAGTAGAAATTAAGGTCCCTGACACTTTAGAGGAGCTGTCTTAAAGATCTTAACAAATTCTAGTTCAGGTTCATAGTTAATCAAATAAACAGTCAGTATGGTGTAGTGCTTTGAGTACCTGGACTGAAAGAAAAAAGACCATCTTCAAGTTACCACTTGAGGATGGAAACTATTGGGTAATCTTTTACCAAATTCATTCAGCCCAGTCTATGTCACAAACCTGTTGTGAAGACCAAATGGTGGTTATAAAGTTAAATAACATACCTATACAAAAATCATATGATATACTTGCTTACTAAAGGCGGAAGCAACTAGCTTCCGCCTTTAGTAAGCAAGTGGTTGCTTACTAAACCTGTGGGTCGGGACCCCATTTGGGGTCGAATGACCATTTCACGGGGGTCGCCAAACCATGCTGTCCACCATTTTTTTCCCTTTTCCCTAGCTGTCCTACTTCCCCTTATTGGTGGCCACACCACTTGGGGGTCACCACAACATGGGGACCTGTATTATGGGGTCACGGCATTAGAAAGGTTGAGAATCACTGAACTAGAGTTTTGTTTCATGTTAGTAGATGTGGTTTGTTTATTTAGTAGCATGAACTGATTTGATATTCTATTTTGGGAGATGCTACCATGGATGGAAAAAGAGATGAAAGGCGGAATCCAGCCTCTCGTTTTCCAAAATGCTGTTGTGGTCAGTTCTTCAAAGAGCCCTCCACTCAAGAATTTCATAGAATGGCTAAGAGTCTTTTTTATTTCAGCTAAATATGAATCTACTAAATAAGTAATGGACTTGGGGCTTTGAATGCATTAAACTGAAATTTACTGCTGGCTGCTCATATCTCCTAGTAATATCTCCAAAGGAATTTGTAAAAAGCTTGGAATTTGGGTCAAACTATAGTTAAAGCTCTCCTGATCCAGCCAAAACATTTTTGTGTGCGTGAGAGAGAAAATAAATAAGCACATTTTTTATGGAGAAAACTGGGCTTGAAATATTTTGTTTCCATATTAGGATAGTAAAAAGAGTGAAATCATGTATCTTATTTATATGTAACTAATGCCTGCAGACATTAATCTGGTGTTACTGAGAAACTATCCTGCACATGCAATTCTGATTTTATTTTCTCTATTATTTATTGAATAGTTTCATTAACATTTTAAGGCGGGATTAAACAAATTATGTGTTGTGATTTTTTGAAAATACAATTGCATGTTGGATTTTCAGATACTTTCACTTATACTTGTAGTTTCACTCTATTTGACATGTATTATCTTTACAGGAACTCAGAAAACAGGATTTTTAACTGCACTTAAAGACAGTCCTGCAAGATATCCTTTCACTGAAATACTTTTACCTCTATTGGAATAATTTTTAAAGAATTAATATTTAGATATACTTTGGTTTGGTTTCTGCTGGCAGTTAATGGATTTTTTAAATTAATGGATATGAAATCTTTAAATTAAAACTTAAGTACCTCACTTCTGTGAGTTTATATGTAAAAATATATAACAGCTTCACATGTAATATATAACTGTTTTTCCCATCAAGCTGCTCTTTAAAACAATGGCATCTTAATTCCCCACATCCCCAAACATCATGACCAATCTCTGTTAGTTCAGAATTATGGGAGCAGAAGTCCAAGCATATCAGGAAGGCCCCAGGTTGGGAAAAGCTGGCCTATGAATTTTAATGGCCAAAATATTATTGTAGCACAGTTTTAAACATGTTTGATGAGATAGTGAAATGGGTTTTCAGTTTGTAATTTCAGACTTATCCCTTGGCTTATTTATATAGGAATATGATAGATCACACAAAAGAACGGTTCTTTGTAAAATAAAAATTCCCCCATAATTTGCATTAGGTGCTAAAGTATTCAAAAGAAAACCTGCTATAATACTTAATAGGCATTCCCTTAGAATGCGCAGAAAACTAGGAACATGATCATGTAATACTTTATTACAGGTTTGCATGACACTTGCTATTTTCCATCCACCCCAGTTAGTTCTGATACAGTTGATTCTGCTACTGTGTTGGAGTAAAGAATAAAAAATGCTTAGCATTCATGAGTTTTCAATTTGATCCCTTGAACCCTGTAAATTCAGAAGAAGGCCCATAGGCATACACACTGCTTTCTTATAATGTGCACAATACATTTTTAAGCAATGTATACATTTAGAAATGCTAAGATAACATCTCCACAAAATAGCAAGCGTTGAGTGCTACTGATATTAATGAAAATTATGAAGTAGCAAATAAAAGGTTTTCAGTCAAAAAATGGCTAAACATTACTAAATTAAGCACAAATACTGAAGTATAAACACCTAATAGCTTCTGTTCAAAGACTGTTTGTAAATAATGTAGTGGCCTCCAATTAAAAGAATCACAGTTCTTTCTAATTACGCTTTTCCATTCCTTTTGCTTATCTCTGAGAAATGTTTAATTGTGCATTCCTTCAGCAAAATTTATTTAAAATTCTGGGCAAACAAGATTTCAAAAATTACATCTAAAATAAGGTAGAAATAATACCAAATAACATCTCGTCTGCTGTAGAAAGGCATTTTAAAGTTGTAGTTTCAGTACAAGAAGATGTACTATTTTTCCATGAATGACTGCCTTCAGTGATTTGCAAGAAAAAGACTTAGCCTCTGTTTTGCCATCTTTTTGATTCCACATTTCAGAGATTAGATTTGTAGTTGTACTATTATTATTTAGAAAATGAAATACTAGAAAGGAAAACAATTCAGTAATAAAGAAGCATATCAAAAGCTGAGCCAAGGGAAAAACACATTGAAATTAAAGCCTTTATGATATTATTTCTGCTTCTCATTTATTTGTTCCCTTTGATCGATATATCATGATAGTTTTGTGTGGCCGAGAAGATATATTGGAAGTCAAGTCATATTAAAATAAACTATATTTATTTTCTCCCACATACCATCTGTTTACCTTTCATAGAAGACCAAAACTGACTGAATGGTAAAGTACTGCATTAATCCAATAAAGTACTACATTAATCCCCCACCCCCACAAATAATTATGTATGAACTGGAGGGTCTTCCTGGCTTGAATGCCAAGAAGAGCAGATGTCACTGAATGAGTACAGATGTAAATGGCTGCAAACATCACTGCCAGAAAGTGTAGATGTCTTTGAAGCTATCCTGAAACTACCCTTTGCCTGATGAGTTTAACCCTTTGGTAAGGCCTAAACAGGATTTTTCCCTCTTCTCTCTTTTAGTTAACTCTTCTCTTTGCTTGATCTCTACTGAGCTTTGGCTTTCACTTCCTTCCTTCCTTCCTTCCTTCCTTCCTTCCTTCCTTCCTTCCTTCCTTCCTATTAAAAGGCAAGAGACAGAGGTACCCTCAGGATCTAATGCTTTCATCATATAATGACAAATGCAGCATTGTATCATTGTGTGGTAGTTTACCCTCTTTGGTGCATGCATATTACCGTATATGCCGGCGTACAAGGCGACCCGGCGTATAAGACGACCCCCATCTTTGTCGCCGAGCCGCATTCCTAGAACGTCGTCTTATACACCGGAAACTACCAGTATTTCCGGCATATAAGACGACTCGGCATATAAGACGACCCCCGTCTTTGGCGCCGATTTTAGCGCTTGCGGAAGTCACCTTATACGCCGGCATATACGGTATATGATACACCAATCAAAGGCATAGAGCTGGAATCCCGATGGCCTGACACTGTTTTTTTCATATGCCTCCTCTTGTGGATCTCTGTATTTGAAACTGTATGTATGTATGTATATATGATCGTATGTAAGGGATTATCTTATTTTACAACCAATTAATTTTAAAGAATACTAAATTTTATCCTAATCCTGTCATTTTGGCAAGTTGTGCAGTATGTCTCCGGAACTAGTTTTAATTAAAATCCACAACTCTTAAAGTTTACAGGATGGGAAGTTGGACATTTTATAGGTTTTTTTTGTATGTGTTACATGTGTAGTTACTAATTTAATCAAATATTTCTGGAAAATGTTGAGGAACTTCTCAAACACAGTATGCTAGCAAACATAGCATGTCTGTTGTTTCCAAGTACAATAGTGATCCTGAGTGATAATCTTGATTTGTAAGAAGGAATGTTCATTTAGTTGCCAATAGCCTTTATCTTCACTGACTTTTCAGTTAATACTGCCTTGACATTTAATCACTGTCCTAGAAGCTGTGGTGTGTTTCTTTTCCGTTTGGTCCATTGTCGGGCTCTCAGGTTTTCATACTTATTTGATCAGCTCCAATCAAACAACCAATGAGGATGTAAGTTTCTCCTCTCTTGCTCTAATTTTCTTCATCTAATGATTTCATGTATTTCACTTTCACTGTATGCTTTTATCTATTTTTCAAAAGGTTGCAAGGTTTACTCAAGTGTGCTGTCTATTTTTGTCTGTATAATGCATATGACTGTACTTTTTTGATAGCTTCTTGGCAAGAAACAAAACATAGCTGAGACACAGTTCTATAGCAAAATCACTGAATATGACTTTGTTTTAATTAAATGGAATTTAGGCTAGAAGACCACAATGTCAGCACTAATATTTAGAGCAGCCTTTCTCAATCTTTTTTTTCCACATGGAAGTACCCTCAAAATAATTTTCAGATCTCATGGAATTCCTGCAAAAAAAAAATTATAAAAACTGAAAACTTCATTATACAGTTAACTTCTAACCTACACAATCCACATTTTAGAACATTTACAACAGCAAAACAAAATGGTAGGCTGGTAGCTGAATTGTAGCATATAAAAATTCTCACTGCAAGCTGCATTTTTTCCCCCCAGGCATAATCTCTCACAGAATTCTAATTGAAAAAAGCTGTCTAATTTAGAGAATGTGAGTAAGATGCTGGCTTGGCTAGATAATGTTTGCTTTCCCCAAGATTAAGAAGATGTCAGAAAACTTGGCAGTATACTAATAACTAAAAAAAACACAGTTGTCAGAAAACTCTAATATTTAAAATATAGGTTAGGATCTGTATGCCTGGTAAATGATAATTATGATCCCCATATTTATGTAAGAAAATTTGCAAAAGATACCCATTTTCCATAGTTTGGACTGGGTTTGGATGGATTTCAGCAGATTATTTTGGGTCAGTCGCTGTCTCTCAACTATATTTAATTGTGAAGATTAAAAAATGGGGAAAGAGGAGAGCCCATTCATAGGTCTTGACTCATACCCTACACTGCACTGGATATATGAAATAGAGCACATTTATAAGGAAGAAAAATTGAAGTGAATCCATTACCATCTATTCTATTGTAGATGAGCACCAGATGTTTCTGGAATGTCTCTTTGGAGAAGAGATGATACTTTTTTTTTTCCTTTGACATTTCTGATTCACAGCATGAAACAGAAAACATGTATTGAGATTTTATGGATCAAATGATATATTAAAATGGGCAAAATAAATTCAGGTTCAAGTCAGAACTCATAGAGCATCATAATTTGATATGTAGTTTATTTTTGCTGTAGGTATTTTTTTCTTAGAATAAATAACACTTATAAACTGAAGAGTGCTATTAAAAACGAAGAATAATGCACCAGTATTTATTTCTTTATAGATCAAGGGATCTTGGTCAAATAAAAGAAGCAAAGAAAACTTCAATCCTTATAGTTATGGCAACATTTGTGTTAATTGTTGCTCAGCACTTTGCGGGCCCCTTTCTCCTAGGTAAGAGATTTAATATAATTGTTCAGTATTCTATTTTATTGTACCTTTGTCTGTTTGTTGAGTCAAATAATATGTAACTTACAAGAGCACATACATTGCTATAGGTATAATGGTGGGATTCAAATAATTTAACAACCAGTTCTTTACCCTAATGTAAAATCTGTTCGTCGTCATGACCGGCACGACACGCCTCACATCGTCGTCATCACCAGTGTGACATCAGTGTCACTAATGTGACATGCCTCACGGCAGCATCACCAGCACAACACACCTTGCAGATTTGTCATAACTGGTCCGCCGAACTCAACAAAAAATTAGGTATTGGTTCTGCCGAACTATGCGAACCGGCTGAATCCCACCACTGTATAGGTGTCATATGACCTTTGAATTCTTTGGTATGTAATTTTATGGTGTGCAACTAATAAGACACTGGGAAAATTATAGTATACCAATCTAAGCACAACTAATGAATTTGCTACAGCAAAAACTAACTAAAGCTTTATGGAAAAATTAATCAGCTAGGGTTTTGTTGTCTTCAATAATTTTTTGGTTCACTGTCCAGCTGTGAATGATTACAATTTAAAAGTGTCTAGCAATATTTTTGAAAACATAATATTCTAAGCAGAAGTGTTAATTTGATTTGGACATTTATTTTCAAATGTATTTATATTCAGTACATACTGTACAGCAACAGCAAACTAGTTAGTATTAGTATTAATAACCTTGCAGGGACATGCAGCAGATGAATAAAATATGTTTCCTATTGACTTAGAATGATCACTTTATATAAATTATGAGGGCAAACATTTTGGAAATTAAAATAGTTTTTTCCTTACATTGTTTTTATCTACCTCTCATAAGGTGCTATAAGGCAATAATAAAGAGCAAATCTGCAAAAAGAATATGTGATTAATTTTGTACCATGTATAGGTTTTGCCAACTTAAAAATTCATTGAAATATACAATTCTGCCAGAAGTGCCTAAACTTGTGCATGCAACTGCATTCTAAGAAGCTAATTTATTTTTTTGAACTCAAGTTACTTCCATAAATTCTTCATGTTGTTGTATGGAATTATTTGTCCTAAAGTTAGCTTCATTATTATCTGATAAGAATTATTTGTAATGCAACTTTGTATTTATTCTATAGTTTAATTGACCGAAGAGGATTTATCCAACCAGATACCCCTCAGCCAGCAGCTCCGTCAAATGGCATTACAATGTATGGGGCCACACAGTCTCAGAGTAATATGGTAGGAACCATCCCATAATGTTGATCAAGAACTCTGAATGTTTCTCTTTTCTGCTTTTCTGAGAATAAGTCAGGTCACTAAGCTGAGTCCTTCTAGTACTTTACAATAAAAATCTTCCATGAATATATTGCAATAGGGTTTCTGTGACATCAACATTTTAATAAGCATTAATGCAAAATTTAAAAAATACTATAAGAACACTAAGTAAAAATTAGTAATCTAAATTGAGATTGACAAGATGAATAGAGAATTGTCATATTGGAACCTCTGTACCTTAATGCTACTTTTCGATGGCTGAATGTTCAATAAGGCATTTATTGCTTTTTTAATTGTTTTCCTTAAATGCCACTGGCTGTACTGCATAAATTCTTGCTACCTGAGATTTCCTATACTGTACAGCTCAGCATGCCACTATGAATATTTCAAGAGAATAGTTTAAATTTCTTATGAACATTCTGAAAGCCACTATATTTAATTACTGCAAATTTTTAACTCATGTTTTTATAAAAAAAAGAATCCTGATTAGAGTTGTATTCTTCTGGTATATTAAAATTTTGTCAAACTCCTTGTATATTTTTACTCCTCCTATTTCTAGATTTCAAAAGAAGGAAAAATGTGAATCCCAAACCTTTACATTTGTTTCATTTAAGTGAAGTACAGTAATAGTACAGCTTTTTATAGCTATGTGAATTCTTTTTATGTTTTATAACATTAATATAAGGATTTTCCCTTGATCAATGATTCCTCAGGTGAGTTCATTGATCATTTTTCATATCTGCCAACAATATTAATTTGTTATATTTTAAATATCAAACATTTTATTAATTCCAGTACCAATAATATCTTTTATAGTATTACTAAGTACATAACATAGTTTATATACATACATACATACATACATACATACATACATACATACATACATACATACATACTATAAAATTTGGAATGCTAACAAAGAATTAAGGGAGAATGGGATAGCTATTTCGAGTTTCTTAACTCTCTTCAGCCAAACTTATCCTTCTGAGATTCGAGCCTGGACTGTGTGCATATTAGGCAGCTGTATTAACCTCTAGGCCACAGGCTCTTTCTATATATATCCAATTTGACGCGGGAGAAAACCCGAATAACCAAAGACCTACACACAAACACCCACGAAAACCTCAGAAAACAAATATATATATGTATATAGTGTGTGTGTGTGTGTGTGTTTTATATATAGTTATATATATATATGTTTTCTGAGGTTTAATATATATATAGTTTAATATATATAGTTTTATTTAACACAAAAAGTCATTGATTATAAGTAAGGGTATATAAGAGAAATAAAATATTTGCTTGCTATAAATGAATGGATTTATTTTAAGCACCTTATGCTGATAACAATATTTTTTCTCTATTTTTCTGTCATAGTAGTGCATATTAGCATTTTTAGGCAGAAGTGTGTAGGTCAAACACAACTAAGAAAATGTTAATAAATTTGTTATTTAAAATTGAGTTCAGGTGTCATCTTATTTTAATTTCTGTTGGACATTTTTTTCTTGCTATAATTTTACTTTTTTGCCTTTATTGGATGTTGTAAAGAAATTTCACATTTATAACTGGTTCCCACATGAAAACTGAAGAAAGAATTTGAAGTCACTCAGAAATCAACTTCTTAGTTTAGTCTTTTGATGTGGTCATTTGGGGCTCTCTTCCCTCAATTGTTACCACTATTTTTTCTGATCTACGTTTTCTGTACTCTAACCTGGTTTTAGTTGACTAATCAATAAACTATTCTTCTTTGCTATTCTTCCTTTGTATGCTTCTCAAATCTCCTTTCAGTACCAACTATCTCAAGAATACAGTACCAGATCAATTTAATATGGCTATATTATCACTGAATAATTTCCTTAACTTGCAACTTAATCTGTGTTAAACTAAAATTTTCTAAAAGAAATAGATAATCTGTGATGTAATTGTTTTTCTTTTTCCTCTCCCCAAAATAGAGATGAAATCAGCATTAAATCTTTCTTTTGAATGAAGTCTCATAATATTGATCAATTACTGGTTTTAGCCAGTAAAATATATTTATTGCTGGGATAAATAATAGAATTGTATATTTTTGTGTTGATAGTTGTAAATTCAGATAAAGGCTTACAGTGAAATCAGCATGTGTTCTGATAACACTGCATATGACGAAGCTAAGATTAATAGTCTTTTGATTACATTTGGGCAGTAGTTTCTGAGCTTTCTAGATATTTCTCATAAAGTCAATACTAACTAAACATTTTAAAGACTTCCAAAGATTTTTTTAAAAAATAAATTCAAATCTATATTAACTGAAAATTAACCCAAAAACACAAACTTATTAAAACTTATCTTTAAATGGTCACACGTGGATATTTAATTAAGTTTGAATAAGATGTGGTTTGTATGATACTAAAATGATGATTTGTCATTGTAAGGCTTCCCAATGAGAACTAATATTCAAGGGATGCCTTACTGTCTGATCACAGCAGAGGGTTTCTGGTATCATCAGATAACAGGACATTTTTCCTTCTTCCGTAGATATAGGAAAATAATATACATAGTCCTATTAAAATACGAAATAGCTAGGAAATTATACAATAAAAGCCCATTCTGGAAGAATTCTTTGTAAGTAATTGCTTCCTTTCTTTTATGCCTTTCAGCAAAGTTCTGCTTACTGATAGTTTCCCCATTTAGTTTAAGGCATGGATTATAACCTAACTGGCTCTTTGGGGACAATTTCTAAGCGCCAGTAAAGATCAGGAGATATTAAAAATGAGTCTGTAATTGTAAGCCAGTGTGTCAGAAATGCTATGTATGTTTGTTCAGTTAAACAGTCAAAATAGGGAAATGGGTTTAAAATAACAGTTATTTTATATCTGTCCTTAACATCATGATGTTCGTCAATATGTATTGTAACATTGTACTGTTAATTTTTAATCTTAAAATTTGTAAATCTGGGAACAAAATTCCAGAAAAATTCAATAGTCTAACATGTTCTAGTGGTATGTGAAGGTTTGGTGATGATGATCATTTCAAAGTGTATATATGTTTAGATTATTACTTCAGAGTTTTGCTCCTTTAAAACTAGTCTGCTCTCCAATTTAGTTCCTCTAAATTAGTTATTAATGCTACTTCATTCTCGTAGTTCTCAGTATCTAAATCTGTTGAAACACTGCAAATTTAATAAGCCCTTATTGCTTTATTTTTCTAATGGATGAATGATAAAAATAAATGATCTCCATAATAGCCCTTTAAAGCGTCCCTTTCCACCTGAAATACTAACTTTGTTGCAATTAACTAGGCAACTAATTGATATAGCATAGTTTTTAATTCAGTATGAAGGTAGACTTTGCTTACCGACTGCCTCATTTAGCAGCCATTTGAAATTACAATGGTTGAAAAAAAAACAGTTTTATAATCCATCCTTTCATTTATGACTGTCACAGCCATCCCACAATCACATGATTGCCATTTGTATGCTTCATAACTGGCAGAATAGAAAACGCAGATGTGAAATCGTAAGTCACTGTTGTGTGATGTCTCACTCAGTGACTGCAGAGATTTACTTAAAATGGAAGTGAAGTTGTGAGTCCATTGCAATCATGTGGTTTTTCACTTAGCAACAGATTTGGAGGTCCCAATTAAGGTCAGTAAGCAAAGACTATCTGTAATCATTTTTGTACCACATATATATTTGTAAACTAGAAATATGAAATCTTTTTATTATAATTTGAAACATTTATATAATTTTTATGTAAAATCTTTATAGTATAATTTGAAAAATTAGAATATCAAACCTGCATTAATATTACTTTAAATACCCATTGCTTCACTGCCTAAATGTTTAAAAATATTTGGGTTTTTATGGTTTTTTTCTCTCAATATTTCCATTATTTTAATAGGGGACTGAAGTTAGATTAACCAGGTGGTAATTGACAGGATCACCTTTTCCTTTTTGAAGGTTGGTAGTATATTTTGCTTTTATCCCCATCCTAGTACACTGCTAGTACTCCATCATTTCTTTAACTAGTTCTTTTGTGCCATAAAATATGCCATGAGAATCCACTCCCTCACCAAAACTCATGTTTCCTAAACATTTTTTCATTAGTATTTGAGGCTGCAATCCAGAGTCGGTTGTTCTACAGTAATATGAAGATTATTCTTCATTCAGCATTGTGAATTGTGCCATCTCTTCACCTCTTTTTTATTATGTTCAAGAAAACATTTCAAATATTTTAGAAATATTTGTTACTGCTGCATTTATATGTATTTTCTTTAAAAATTCCTGGAACTGGGATTATTTTAACACTATGTAGTCCTAGAAATGTCAGTATCTCATTTATCTGTACTGTGATGCTTATAATCTTCTTAAGTACTTTAATCTTACAGAGCTCTTTCATCGTTTTCTGTTTCAAATTTGGGATAGTTCTTCAATTAAAGCTGAATACAGATTCAGTCCAAATCCTTATACTATGATTTCTGTGACATCATTCTGTAGATACTCCAAAAAAAGAAAATATTTAAAAACATTAAAATATACTCTGTTTTCCCAAAAATAAGAGCTACCCCAAAAATAAGCCCTAGCTTGATTTTGGGAGGTGGGCTTAATATAAACTCTACCCCCAAAATAAGCCCTAGTTTTGAAGCGCGGCACACACCTAAAAATCAAGCTAAGTGGAGCTGCCCCACGTGCCCGGCACCCACTTACCATTGCAGCCAGGCCTCCCATGCCCCGACAAGTGCCTCACCTTGCCAGTCCACTTCTGTGGCCGCTCACCACCGCTCGCACATGTCACCCACAGCCTTCATTTTGCCATCAGAGGCCTTCAGGAAATGCCTCTGCAGCCCAGAATGGAGCTCTGGATTGACACGCATGGCTCCTCCTTTCCTGAAGGCCTCTGACAGCAAAACAGAGACCGGGGGCGACACACACGAGCAGCGGCAAGCAGCTGCAGAAGAAGTGGGCTGGCTGGGCAAGGCAGTCGGTGCCACCGCCACAAGGTGAGACAGTGGAAAAGACATTCTCCAAAAATAAGATCTAGTACCTCTTTTGGAGGCAAAAAAAAAAAAAAAAAGATTGGGTCTTATTTTCAGGAAACACAGTAAATGGCAAAATACTTGAAGACTAAAAAAAATGTAAAATGCTAGTGGGGGGGGACCTGCTACTGCAAGAAGCTTCCCTTTCAACTGACAAAACATTACACATGCACGTACCTAAATGCTGTTATACACCAGAAAGTATCTATTGCAGTTGTCCATCGATTACATCTCTTGTTACTGTACGGGCAGAATTTACAGGTTTAAAGTAATAGCTATCAAAACAGGTTTATTGAATTTGACAGACTCCTAATCTTTTAAACCTGTTTAATAGAAAACATGTATTATATTTGCATCAACAAGAATAGTCCACAATGCCATCTTAACTGCTACTATCTCAGTGAACCTAATTATCATAGAGAATACATATTTTTATGAGGCCCATTTGCCTCAGTTTTTTATAATCCTTTGCATATTTTTCTATGCATTTTTTCTGTATTACAAAAAGGGCTTCTGTAACAGCATGAGACGGGGGTAGCTTTCATGCAACATTATAGGAATCCGTGAAATATTTGCTCCAAAATGCTGTTCTTTTTTGTATACTTGTTCCATTTTACTTATTTCCCTTTTTCAAAGTAATCTCTTTCATAATACTTTTCATATTTCTTCCAAGTCCCTTTCAATTAAATTATATTCATTGATGTACAATCCCAATGGTATAAATCATTGAGCAAGATAGACAACATGGAAAAATAAATGTATTGATTTTTAATGCTTAGTTGAAATTTATTTTTTAAAACTATTAGATATGGTAGAATAAAATTATCTTTTTATCTCAGGCCTAGCCAGAAAGTATAATGGAAGGAATTATCTTTGATGTTGCAGAGATGTTCCTTGGATTTTTATTCCAATTAGTAGATATGTTTTTGTGTTGTAAGAATTCAAAAAGTCTATTTTATTGCTGTTATGTTAAAAAGAAATAAAACCATAACTTTAAAAATATTTCTATGTTTCTGATTTGTATCAGTATTATAAAAAAGCAATGGATCTGAAGCAGCTAACATATATTTAATACTTAACTTTAATTTTAAAATGGTTAAATTACAAATGAAGTAGCTAATAAATTATCCATGTTTTAAATAAAAAAAATTCATATAGGATAAATTTGTTCGAAAGTAGTTGGCATTTCATTTGCATTGTATGGACTATTTGTCTATTAATCTACTAATAGAGCATTAGTTCTAATATTGAACACTTTGGAAAGATTTTGACAGAATTTAAATGTATTTTAAAAAGTATATGAACCATCACTAAGGGACAGGATGATTCTCAGTCTAATTGGATTTTATTTCTAGCATTTTATTAAAGTAGCTATAGGAGCCTAAATATTTTCAGAATGATTTATGAATTACATAAAGTTGAAGTGCTTTCCTGGTTTGAGGCTTAAGTCCAGTAAACTGCATGCAAAATTAAACACCGTATGAAAGTAAATATTTTTAATGCCAAAAACTTAGCGAAATGACAATAATAGAATGATTTTTATAACATAGATCCTGTATCAATAATATACAACGTATACTTTTTAAAATAATTTTAAAGACATTAAACAGTGGAACTGACATCAGTCTATATGGCTGTTATTATATCATATTGTGATGAATTTGTTTCATATTGACATGCATTATAAAATGCTTCCAATAATCGCATATACCGTAAATGCTGGCGTATAAGACGACTTCCGCGAGCGCTGAAATCGGCGCCAAAGACGGGGGTCGTCTTATACGCCGAGTCGTCTTATACGCCGGAAATACTGGTAGTTTCCGGCGTATAAGACGACGTTCTAGGAATGTGGCCCGGCTATAAAGACGGGGGTCGTCTTATACGCCGGGTCGCCTAATACGGCGGCATATACGGTATTTGAACAATATAATACAGCATTCATAGGTTATGTTCTGAGTAACCAACTCATGCATACACTGAATATCAATGTAATTTCTATCTACATTAGAAGGGGGCATTCAGTATGGTTATTGTAAATTTATAAATTCAAACAGAAGAATGGTTTCACTTATGCAAGAATGTTCTGCACCTAAATAGAATGTGCTGTATATTTCAGGAAATTGCAGTTCTCTGAAATGTTTTATAGGGAGGAGAAGAAAGCTTTTACAATTTCTGACTTCTTGTATAAATGTTAGATACAGCCCAGTGCCCTGGCTCATGAAATATGTTAAGATTGCTTAACCATGGCTTATTCAATAAGCATAATAGTCTGCATTCTCATATTGTGTTACGCAGAAATCATATAAATTATGTTATGGCTGTTGTTCATACTATGTGTATTTAAAATGTATGCCTGTTCAGCTGAAATCAATCTTACATTCAAGAGAGACAAGTTCAGTTTTCTTCACTTACAAAACAAAAATCAAATGCAGTTATAGCAATAGCACTTAGACTTATATACCACCTACTTCATAGTGCTTTACAGAATCAGCATATTGCCCCCAACAATCTGGGTATACAATGAGGGATACCTAGACATTGTACTATAGAAGGGTAGCCAAAAATCAGAAGGAATAGCATTTTTAAACAGATTTTATTAAAACAAAAAAAAGCTTTTGTAAGCTACATTTGATAAAATTATCTGCAGCTCATGAAAATGTATGCCTTTTAATAAAATTATTAGTTCTGAAAAGGTGCTAGAAGATTAATTCTAATTAATGTTTATTAACAATACTTGTGAAAATGATTTTGGAACAGTAGTTGGTTAGAAGAGCTGTGAAGATCTGGCTCTTTGTCATACTCGCCATCTTTAATCTTAACCTTTTATATTTATTGATTTTATAGTAATTTCTTTGTTTGATTGTTGTGCATCACTCAAGAGTCATTAAGTTAGGTGGCATATAATTTTAATAAATTTTATCTAAATAGTGTCTGCAATAATGATGTTAACTGTAAACAGATAAATGAAGTGTTTAGATTGTATCAATACAAGTCTGATTGACAAGTTATGGAAAATAATTGTTCCATTTTATTATATTTTGGTCAGTTCCTATCTTAAGGTCTATGTCTAATACTGGACAATATACTTTAAGGAGGATTCAATATTCAAAGTTTGAAGAAAGACAATGATCAGGAGAATAAGAACAGCCTTATGAAAAAGAGATTGAAAGGACTAGATATATTTAGCTGGAAAAAAAAGATGAGTCTGGGGTGTATGATAGCATTTTTAAAACACCTGAGATGTTGTTACATAGAAAACGATCAAGATCTGTTTTTTCTTCTTCCATAGGACAGGACATGAAAAAGTGGATTAAGTGACAGGAAGGCAGATACCAAGTGAACATTAGAAAAAAACATAAGAGCAGTTCAGCGAAAGAACCAGTTATCCAGGAAGGTGGTGGTCTCCCCGTCAGTTAAACAAATTCTAGACAGGCATCTATATGGGATTTATTCATTTGAGTTCCTGCCCTGTGCAGGAGATTGTACATATCTTTGTGGCTTAAATGATTTTTTTCACCTCTGATTCTATAATGTGCTTTTTATCCCAATGAAGTTATAGAGTTGCAGAGTCTGTAGCCTTAAACAAGGATGCAGAGCCAAACTACAAGATCTACACAGAGATATGTAAACAATGTACCATAGGGGGAAAGTTAGCATGTTTTACAAATTATTTTATCTAGCAAATGCTTTTCATACTATATACTTTCACTTCGCTGGAATTCATCAATATCTTGTGCATGCTGTCTTGGTCAATTTAACAAGGAAGTGTAATTAATCACTCTTTTCTTTCTCTTTATGTCCCATTCCTCTTTTGTCCATACCCTTCCATCTCTGTATCTCTCATACCTTATATATTATTTTGGTACCCTTCCATTCTTCAGTGTGATCAAGATCAGTGCATTCAGAGCACTAAATTCGTTTTGCAGGCTGCTGCCACCCCACTCCTCCAGAGTGAGCCCAGCCTAAGTAGTGAAGAGCTGCCTTTACCGGGAAAAAATACTCTTGGTGCTCCCTGTGCTATGATGACATTAGGACAAGCAACGCCACCTTCTTCCATCCCAAATCTCACATCAGAAACAAGCTTGTCAGAAATGATACCATTAAAAGAGGACCCTGAAAGTCATCCATTTCTTACTCCTGAAGAAGCTCCACCTGGGATGTTGCCTCTTGGATATGCCCTAACACACAGCCGTACCATGCACAGCCTCAGCCTGGTTAGCCAGGATTCACTGCATGAAGACTCAGTGCGTGGCCTTGTTAAACTCAGTTCAGTCTAAACGATATAGAACATGACTGCAATTAAAGAGATCTTATTTAACTCCAAGAGCAATTAGCCTTTGGACTCTGACATATACATGTCACTGAAAATTATTATGTAAAGAAGCCTATTGAAAGGACAAATTATTTTTGTGCCGTGAAGTAACAATTTCATTTGTTTTACAGCAAATTTATTGGTGGCTTAGGTTTGATGGTTACATTGTCAAATAACCAATTTAGTTGAAATTTGTTTGGTGATTTATAATGTCCAGCATTTTGGAATCCTGGTACTACAAAGTTGGTTATTATAGTTCTTAAAATACGAATGATATAAGTGTCATATTCCATGTTTTATGAAGTTCCTTGTTGTAATATCTTCTTTGTAGCCAGACATTACAGTGCTACTCATAATTGAAACAAGATTAACATTGGATGAATGCAAAATCAATAAGGGTTACAATTGTGGATTTGCATGCCACACATTACAGTGGGTGTTAACAGTAGTGTTGGTATTTGAAAGACAGTGCTGCTGCTTTACTATTTGTGAGTACCAAAGTGCTGTTCATTGTAAAAGACAATACAACAAACAATATTAACTTTTTTCAATCAATAAATAAATGAACTGACGGTGCTCAGTTATGGAGGATTACCTTATTTTTGTATATCATTTATTTTTTAGTGTGAAATAATATATTGTGTTGTGCCATAATATAGATTTCTCTCCACCCATCCCCACCTGTGATCACACAAGATTCAGATATTCAGTAAGATGGCATTCTCTATATCTTTGAATATGTATTTACATATCTCTTCATAAAAAGCTAATGCAAACCAGCATATTACAATACAACAAATTACTTTTTTTCTAAGATTATATCATTAACCAGCCAAAGGAAATTCCAAGACCTAATTATGGATAGTTTTGAGTTTTGTTTTGTATACAGTTTTATATATAACCTACTTAATGATGCTATATGCCTATAATTGATCTGCTTGTTAAAAATTACTTGATGTTGGATTGCAAAATCTTCCATTTTCAAAAGGATTTTGATTCAGCAGAGACTTTCATACAAAGATTGCTTCTTAAATTATTTAAAACATGTTCACAAAGGGACCATCTAGAGCAGCATGGAGGTGAGGAGAAGGTACAGGGCAAGAAAAATAACTGGTGAAGGGGGGGACTTTTTCCTTCTTAATGATTTGGGGACCCATCACTGCTCCTTGAGGGATTTCTTTAAGTTTGTTTGGGACTCATAGTTAAGATTATTGGAGAAGTCTTTCACTAGGAAGCTTGAAAGGTAAAGATATTCATGTTCTTAACTTTGTTGATAGACAACAAGGGTCACTGGGAATTCCCTCAACAGTTTGCTATCATTAACTTTCATTCAGCCATCATTATTAACGACGGTATGTTTCATTTTAAATTTGTGATTGATGCTAATTCTAAGAAATTTCTTATGGCTTAAAGAAAAGACATTCCCTCAGGGATAAGAAACATAATAAGAACTTAAATGTTGCAAGCCATTGCATTTTGTCTTAGTTTTAAGATGCTAGGACCTGCAATACCCTTTTCTCAGGAAAAAAGTTTAATGCAGTTGTTTTTGTGGCTGTGTGTGTGTTTGTGTATACACATACATCCTTAAGCATAACTGCAGGCAAGTACACTGAAAAAAACAGATTGTGAAGGAACGAATACATTGCATCTCAAAGACACTGAGAATATACCTTTAGAAGAAGAAAAAAAG